CCCAGGGTTCCCAACCTTGGTAAAAACCAGGGGGGGGTTCTTTTTAAGGCAAAATTTTTTTTTTTTTTTTTTTTTTTTTGTAAAATAAACACAGAGTTGTAATCTTCCATGTCAATCGTCCTGCTCTAAGCTGCCACCACTATAAGGTCACAAGCCTTAAGCATGAATGTTGCCCCTCAACAGCATCTTCTGTACCGCTAATCATGCAGGAACTGGTGGTCAGTCCTTAAGCTTTCCAACGCTCAGTTAGGTTTGCAGTGCCCAGAAACCAGATGTGTGCTTAGCACAAAAAAATAATATTCACCAAGCTGTGGTTGTGTGGAAAACAATGCATTCCTGGATAAAGACAATGTGCCTTTTCAAACTACAATGATTTGGGGTAAGCATGTTGGCATTCTGAACTGCGAGTGGATGAGGCTTTCGGAGGGACATAATCACAATTTAGTATGAAAACTGCGTCAAAGGAAAAGCTGTGTGTATTTAAAACGGGATATGAAGCTGAGATACATAAACAAAGGAGCTAAAACTAAACTGACACATGTTCTACAGTGAAACACAAACCTCCTTGTTCCAAAAAAGTAAAAAAAAAAAAAAAAAAAAAAAAAAAAACTAGCAAGAAGAAAGCAAACCAAAGAGCATTGGAAGACGAAAAAGGTAACGTGCCAAAGAAGCCCACAGGATATCGCTTTACTTCACAACTTCTTTATGTATTAAAATTAAGGAAATGTAAGGAAGTTCTGTTTCCATGCAAGCCATTTCATGCATTGGTAGGTTTACTGTATCCAGAACAAACAATGTCCTCAATCCAAATGTAGAATGTGTTAAGTAAAACTCTGGATCTTTCAAAAATTTCAAAGAATTATGCAATTGAAAAATGTCGAAAATATGTTAATTTTATTATTTTGAACCTCAATGTAGAGCCTATTAAAAATCTGTAAAAGAGAGAGAACTAATTCAAAATGAAAATAATACCATCTCAGTGCAACTTTCTCGCCTTAATAAACAGTTTGGGAAAAACTGAAAATGTATACATTTGGTATTTGCATGCTTAAACATTGTAATGTTGGCTTAAAACATAACCTTAGAGCATTCAATCACACCCCTTTACGTGCTGATCACACCCTGCCCCTTGCTCTGTGCTGGCTGCCTCTCTTTCTCCAAATGCCGTTATCATTGACACTGATAATGGAGGATAAACAGTTTTCTTGTAAAGGTATAAGTTGTTTTTACTCCGTCATCAGAGTTGCAGCAAACCAACGATCTGGAGCAGCACAAACTGACAGAGATGTCCATTTCTGCACATATGTAGCAGGACCGCAGGGAGGAGACAAAAGAGTTTTATCTTTTCACTGATTCTCTGTGTCATATTGTCAGGACTTGTGTACATCTACAGAACATGACAAAAAAACAAAAGAAAGAATTAGACTGAAATAAACCGGCTTTCATAAATAAATATTATGACTTTACAAAAAGTTTTAATCATTTAAATTTAACCTTATGAGTAAAAAGGTAAACTACACAGATCCCAGAACTGGATTCAAAGATGATGTGATTAGGAAAAATTAAGTAGTAAAGTTGAGCAGTTTATAAAAATCGTTTAGAATTTGTGATTATTTTTTGTGAACCATAGAAAATTATAATAAGATTTTAGATGGGATTTCAATAAAAAAATAAAATTAAATAAAATTTAAAAGAAAACTTTTAAAGTGCTCTGCTGTCAGGTAGCAACAACTGACATTCTGACCCTGATGATCTGATTATTGCCTCTTATAATGCAAAATTTTGTAAATGTGCAAGACATCTTGAAGAAATAAGACCAACAACAAGTTCCTCTGATGCTACCTGACCGCCAGCCGTCCCGTAAAGAGAACATAGGCTACTGTAAATCCCAGACGCAGTAGTGCACACTATACCAAAATTGCAGGAACGGATATGAAAATTTCCATGCCAAGCCTGTGAAATCTAACCACATACATTGTCATTGTGTGACCTGCCCCAGTAGGTTTCAGACAAAGCTACCCCCGACCTTCTGAAAAAAAAAAAAAAAAAAAAAAAAGTTACAAAGACCAAGGAATGTCTTTATCAGGAACAAAAGAGGTGACTCAGGGCTGACAGCACTGGGGGAATTCATTTCTCTCTCGGTTGGTGGTGCGGAGTTCTGGCACACAGTAATGAAAAACTATGATAAAATCTTTCATTTCCTTCTTGTTTATGGGTGAGCAAACGGTAAGCTAAATATCCCCGTCTGCTATTATTTTCTCTGCGTATCCCGCAGCTGTGATGAATCATACCGAGTGCGATCCGCAAAAAGAATTTCACTGACTCGCAATGCTCTTTCACTCCACTGTTAAAGATAACAACTTTAGTAATGCTTGCTTTTTTAAAACTGACAATATCGAGCTTTTTCAGCAGCCTAAAGCTTGCAACTTATTTAGACTGCAAAATCAGTTGTAAATGTGATCGTATAGTCCAGCATTTATGCATTCTATTATGCAGTTAAAATGTACATTTTCTTCTGCATAATCAAGAAAAGTAGGTGGTTTGAAAACCTTTGAGTGTGAGTCTGCAGCACTGTTCACCACATTCCCAGCACGAAGCAAATAAAAGGATCATTTTCCAGCAGCTTTAAGTACAGCATTGTCAGAGAGTTCAACAGCCAAGCGACAGACGAGTTAGGAGCCCCCCAGGGCCCTTCCATCCACCTCACTCCCAGTTGCTTTGTCCAACAGACACCGAATAGGTGAGCCTTTGTCCTGACCCCTTCACATCTGTTGACCCACCCAGCCCCCAATGAGCTTCCTCATGTGCAGTGACAATGTGCTCCAGAGAACTGATACAGCCATATCTCATTTACCTCTGTTTTATGTCTGGATGTATGTCAGGTTTGCACTTGCTGCAGGCAAAGAGGTGAAAAACACCCCAAATGATGCCCTTTCCACTTATTACAGTTATGCTTTTGTGAGTTATTATCACTGTCATTTGCTCTCTGTTGTACGGGTTATTTTCAAGATATGGAGCACGGCAAATATTTTATTTTGTTTAAATTACTGCATTTTTTTCACCAGATTGTGAATAATGTTGGTTTCTGCAGAAACAGATCATATATGTTAAGCTCTTCTTGTCTGTTGACTGTTTCGCTGTTCCAGTAGGACTGTGGATTTCACATTTCTTTGTTTTTGTTTTGCATTTTCAAGGGGAAAAAAGGAAAACAGCTAATGATATTTTATCTGAAAAGAAACAAGTGAATGTTGTCTCTAGTTTAGATAATCAAACTTAAATAAAATGTCAAACAAGTTAGATTGGGAACAGTTTAGCTCACCACATACTCATCACGACCTTAGACGTTGCTTCTGATCTCTACATTGTTGGCAGTTAGAAGAAAGTATTATTCATTCATACTAGCTTATGCAGTCATAAGATCAAGATCCACATTAAACATTTAAGCTTTCTGGATCAAATATATTCATAGATACTTAAAGGCAGATATTATAATCAATTCTTAGACATCCTGGATGTCTAAGAATATCTAACCAAAAATACCTCCATGTTTGCTACAGAAGTACGGCAAATGGTACAACAAAAGTTGATGTGTAAAAGTAATAATTATAAGAAGTAAAATAGTGCTTTTGAGATAGTAAAAGCAGGGAACTATGATGCCTGATCTATGGCATGAACTGTGGTCCATGCTATGAGACCTACCTGAAGAGCAGTAAGGATGTTAGGAAGTGCTTGACCATAAGTGTCATGGCAGTGAACGGCAAGAGCACTGATGGGGACGTCATTCATCACCGTCTGCAGCATCTTGAACATGGAGCCAGGCGTACCAACACCAATAGTATCTCCCAAGGAAATCTCATAACAGCCCATTTCATACAACTTTTTTGCTACCTAAACGATAGTAAAAATGTGGTAAATATTGTCATAAGGAGGCGATTGCACCGAAAAGCATCAATTAAACAGACTGCCAACTTTATGTCTTCAATATATGAACAAGAAACAAAAAAAAAACAAAAAAAACATATTGGTAAGTCAGTAATAAGTAATTGAAATCAGTGGTGGTTAATCTGCAAAGTAATTTCATAAGGAGGGTTTGCTATAAGTGTAAATTCATTTTTACCTCAGCAACTTGCGAGGGTTCGATGTGTCCCTCATGGGGACACCCAAGGGCACAAGAAACGTACCTGAAATAGAAAAGAGTATATTTATCCAAGCTTAACTGTCAAAAACCTAAACAACCTCTAAAACACCAGCATTTTTTTTTACATGAAAAACCTCAAAAGCTGTTGCTTATTTGATTCCAAAGACTCCGTGGTGTCTTTACTGGGAAAGACTTACAGTCCATTTGGACTTGCGGTTTAGGCATAGTTTAAAATAATCTGGTTAACATCTGGAGCTGTGCTATCTGGTTTGCTTTTCTTCTTTATGGAAACTTTTTTTTTTTTATCATTCATAGTAGATCTGTTATTTGGTATAACATTATAGGGGTAGTGAGATGTGTAATTCATCTTTTGTTGAATATGACATTAAACATTTAGAATACAAACCCACGAACAGGGATTTGTCGATCCTTGGCAGCACTAATGACCTCCTCAAACCGCAGTATGCTTTCAGAAATAGAACAGTTGATATTTCTTCTACTGAAGGTTTCAGAAGCCGACCCGAACACAGCCACTTCCGTGGCACCCGCTGCAACCTTTAAACATCAAAGAATGTTATTTTCAAAATTATTTTTGAGTCCTATCTTAGCATGAAGCCAACATTCAAGAGTGACTAAATTCTGTTTTTAATTATGTCACAAATCACCACACTGAAAAGACTCTAAAAGCTTACTGCATCCTGAAAACCTTGGATGTTTGGAGTCAAAACAGGATATTGAACATGAGGCACTCTCTGAATTCCTTTGACCACATCTGTGTGGTCTGCCATCTAAATGTGTGCGGAAAAAGATGTAAAGAAGTACAATAAGACTTTATAGCATGTTCTGTGACACAAATGTATCACCATGAAGAGAATAAGTTTCATGTGAGATTTTGAAGAGCATTTTTTTTCTTTTCTTTTTAAGTAAATACATGAAGTGCAATATATGGCATGGAATGCTAAAACAAACAGACCACAAACTATAAAAACCGGCAATGGATCAAACCACAGGAGCACATTTCCATCAATACATATACAGCAAGAAATAGTCCCTAATAAATCAGTCAGCGCTCTGCTGTTGTGCACGAAAAAGAGCTATTACCTGCGGTACCCACTTTGAAGAGACAAAGCTGGTGGCCTCTATCACACACAGACCTGTTGCTGAGAGCATGTCTATCAGCTGGATTTTCACCCTTGTTGGAACAATTTCCTGGGGAACAATGAAACAGCTCACCGGGGTTTTATCCTAAAACAATGTTTTCATGAGAGTCACACAAATGGTATTTGCATTTAATTTGAAAAAACCCTAACCTTGCTGACGGAAGTAATGTAATGTAAATGTAAAAATAGTAAAAACTCCACTGTAGGTAACTCAGACATTTTAAATTGTTTATCTGTAATGAAAGACAAAAATATTTTTCAGGGGTGAGGGATAATAGCAAAAGGTATCCATACAAATGATTGAGGTTTGTGAGTGACACATCAAAGTATACCTTTTCATTTTGAAGTCCATCTCTTGGCCCAACTTCAACAATTTTCACAAACTCTGGATAGTCATGTTTGATAATGATCTGCAGAAAAATCAGAACAGAAATTTGACTACAGCAGAATATTACTCAGCATAATAATGAAAGCTTGTAAAATTATCCACAGTGTTGCGAAGGAATGCCCCAGGGCATGCTATTCTGAACATAAATTACTTAATATCTCAAAGCCACATGAAATCTGAGAGACTGTACATAAGTCTGTCATCTCATTATAAAGGAAACTCAGAATGTATGTCATCAAGGCAAAGCTAAAGAAAAGACTCGGGGTAACTCCACTCAAACCACAACAAATGTTCTCCTATTTAATACAAGGAGTGTTTTTTTTCTCAGTAAACTTTCAAAACAACATTTTGAAAACATGAGTAATTTTGTTGGTTTGCTAATGTATTTGATTGGTTTTATCCAAGACAATGGAAATAAACAAAACAGACCAAAATGTATGCAAAAATCTGTAAATTTGTTGAAAGTTGCTAAAATGGTAAAAAATAAAAATAAAATAGTGAGCAGTGAAACAAATAAAAACAATTGTTAGGATGTTGCATTAACGGATTTTGGGTGGAAAACAGTCGATTTTACATGATATCCCCCTTTAGCAAAATGAAACATGGCAATGCATTTATTTTCTTCATTTCTGTTCATTGACATTTGTCTTGAGATAAAAACAGCAGAGATGAAAAAAAAAATCCAAAAATTTCACTGATTGCTGTATTAAACTTAACTAGTTCCATGTGATTAGATTTGTAAATGTTAAATAAATCCAATTTGTTTCATTTAAACAGACTGGGTTACTCATCCACCAGATGTTGTTTATGAATTGCCCCCATAGTTGGAACTCAGATCAGGGAATGACTACTATAATAAAGCACTTAATTTGTTTAACTTTGCTTATTTGCAAAGTAGCCATATTGAATTTGAACTCAGACATTTTCTGGGGAAATCTGCTTTCCGAGTCACATTTCAAGTTCAAGTTGCAGTCTATTTCAATTGTTCAAATGTAAAACAAGGAAATCTTGATTTCTGAGGTCATATTAAATGCACTAAGAAAATGTTGAGATAGAATCATTTATACATGTATGATAATAATACTAACCAGTACACAAAAACAGTCAGAATGACATCAATTCAAGCTTTTACTAAACATGAAATTACTGCCATAAATCAAGAAAAGCAGAAACAGTTCAATTAATGGCTGCTACCATGTTGCCAGCTTTAGCAGAGAGGCTGTTGAGAGGCCTTTCAGTAATGAGGAAGTTATGTCACAGAACATGTGCAGCAGATAAAAAAAAAACAACAAAAAAAAAACAGGAAATATTATGCCCACCTTTTCTTCCTGCAGCCAGCTTCTAAACCAAGGGTATTCCTCGATGATTTGCCTATAGCTCAGGCAGTGCTTCACTGTAGTGGGTACGTTACCCATCAGGCTGATTGCTGCTCAACTCCTCAGGAAAAAATAAAAAATAAAAAATGTATCAGAAAGTTGCTGTGATAATCTGCACACTAATTCGGGCCTGAATGGTGGACGACCATGCTGCATAGGAAGATGACATTAGAGGAAGGCTGCAGACTGGGTGGAGAGTGATTCAGCAGTTGTCATGGCAACCACATCTCTGACAGGAAGAGTTGGTGCAATGGAGGGAGGGTGGCTGTCATAACGGAGAAACGGTGTGGGGGAAAAATGAGCCAAGAACCAAATAAAGAAAAGAGAAAGAAGAAAAAAAGAGACAAGGAATGAGAAAGAAAAATGAGAGGAGAAATTGAGTGCAGGAAATACCAAAACTACTAGAAATTTAAGAAATATGTTTTGTAAAATAATAAAAAAATATTCTGCCAAACTAAAAATAAAATAATAACAGAGAAAACTGCTGTCAAGAAATTCACAACGTTTGAGCTTCAAAGCATTCAATAGGAGTTGACTTATTCACACTTGATATGTGTTTATGTTGAGTTAACGAGAGGAGAGACGTTCTTCTCCCTTTTTCAGCCGGGAGCTGAAGGATGCAGGGAAACAGCCTGCTTACATTGATCTCTTGTGTCCTAAATAATTGGAGGCTTTCATTGTCAGACCTGCCACTGCTGCCAATATCAACTGCATGGTGTAATGAAAGCTCTTGATAAGGCAGGTCAAGGTATAACAGAACACTCGTCTTTCTGAACCCAGATGTTAACAATAGAGAGGCTTAATGAAGCCCTCACCTTCAACCATCTCCTCTCGGTACTAGGGAGGCAGGAAAATCATGGGATCAGCTTTAAAAAGGAGGGGGTTGGAAATTCAATGTAAAGAGATATCAGTTGCCCTAAATGTTAAAACACTTTTCTGACTTTTTCTGTCTGTCATGCATTCAAACTCTTTTAAGAAACAGAATAAAAGTGCAGCAACTTGAAGGGGATTTCGATCTGAAAAGGCTATTTGTCTTTAATCAGGCTAAACGTTAGATTTTTATTTTCAGTGTAATGTCTATCTGAGCAAAACTTGAACTGGAGACCAATAAAATGCTACTTTGCAGGTTCATTTGAAATTATATGTGTTTAATCATTTTACCATAACAATCCCTGTTTATACTACCATTTTAAATATTCATTGAATGTGTTGTTTAAGACAAACACTTACTTTGATATTTTTATTATTTGTGTTTTCTGTTGTTTGTGTTTGACATATTTTTTTTTAAATCAACAATAATCAGAACTGACTTATTAAGTCATTACTTTAATTACATGATGCCTAATGATATGTGGATCATCTTCTGACCTCACTGATGTCACTTGATTTCTCTTCTTGTTGTTATACTTGTCTTAGTGTCATAAATTGGATTTTACTTATCATGTTCAGGTAAGAAAGTTGTTTGTATTTCAAGACTTATTTCTTTTCACAGTGGTTTAATACCATGTAGCATAGTGGTATTTTCCTATATTTATATTGTTTTGTGTTTTCTTTTTCTTGTGATGTATTTTTACAGTAAGGTGCTTTGGTCACCTTTGTTGGTTGTCATCAGTTTGTGTTTTTTTAGTACATGATGCCTTAATGTTTATTTTATTTAAATTAATTGCAATGAGCTCTTTTCTTACAAATTAAGTCACTCCAAGCTAATATTATTTGAACTGAATTTAGTTAATAGAATTAAACAAATAAAGCAAATCCACTTTATTCATGAATAGAACAGAATTTAATCTAATCCATTGAACTAATTTGAATGGAATCGAAGAAAACTAAATTGAATTGTTTAAATACAATTCAGATGAAATGAATAAAACCTGGAAATACAATCAAACAGAAATAAATTCAAATTAAATAATTTAATATATCAAGTGGTTTACTAAAATTAAACAGCCCATGACAAACTTTTACATATATGTACAGTCCAGTGGCAACTGAAGGCAATTCATTTTTAGTAATGTTATGCAATAAAGTATTACATAGATTATTTTACATTTAAAAAGAAAGTTTAAAAATTATCACAAAAAGTAGTAACAGAGAGCATCAAAAAAGTGCAACTGTTCAAAAATGTGTTTTGTACGGAAACTCAGAATATGTTTTGTCATTGGGAAAATATTTGGACTCCTCAAGTCACTTTTTTTTGTGAATAACGTCTTCATTCAATCGTCTAAGCAGAATTTGACATTTTTTCTTTCAGTAAAACTTAGTAATGGTGATTTACGAAGACAGAAACCAGCTGCAGAAGGTCACATTTAAGTGTTGGCCTTCAGGGCTCCTTCTCCTCTCAGAAACAAATCTATTGCAGGTGAATACTCTTATTTATCTTTGCATGTGGATTAAATTTGTTTGACAATTTGTCATTTTACAGCAGTTAATCTGACATCTAAGAAGCTATGAGGACATTTAAAATTAAACTTGGCATAATTTGTTTCCTTCATTGTACTGTAAACAGTACAACATTTAAAGCAGAATAAAAGAAAAGAAAAGATCTTTCACTATTTGTGTGGGATTAAATCAAATTTCACCAAAATTGATTTAATCCCACATTTGAAAGAAAATGTTCATTCATCTATTCATTTCCTGCAACCGCTTAGTCCAGCAGGAAAGCAGGAAGAAAGAGAATGTAAAAATAAAATTAAAAAAGCAATTAAAAAAAAAGTTGTCTATGCTCAAATGAAACTCTCTGGCTATTGAAAAAAAGACACATATGTGAGAAATTACTTTATGGAGTCCAGATTTTATCAAGGCATGAAAGTAGTTTTAAGTTCTGATGTTTACTGAAAATGTAGAGGGAACCATATTAAATCAATTTTCATCTCCCATCCGTTTTCAATTTCTACATCGTATATTTAACCAAATTGTTCAGCATGTGAGTCCTGGTCCTGATGTGAATTGCCTGTCATTATCACCCTAAAAGTAGTTCTCTGGATAAATGAAAGGATTTGCTGTAACCAGTTAGTGGTGAAGTCCAACAGAAACAATTCCCTTAAACTATTTGTAATTAGAAAAAAGAAAAAAAAAAAAAGAAAAATGTATTCAGACCAGAATGAATGTATATAAGCTCATTTTCAGTTTTCCTCCATTAGGTTTGAATCAGATATGCTCCAGATGAAAAAACAAAACAAACAATGAACACACACAAATTCACTAGATAAAACATAAAGGCTGTAAACAAGTAGAAGACTATCATACGGCTGTTCAGGAAGAGATCTCTGAGTCAACTTTCCACAGCTCCCCTTGGAGACAGCATGTGCAGTAAAGATTATCATGGTGGTAATCACAGCACAGAGTATCCCAGGCACTCACTGAGGCTTTAGCTCTTTGTCCACATGAGAGTAGATGTGAGTCTTGCATCACTTTCTCCCACTTTGCAAATGCAGTTTGAAATAATGCATCGCGTCATATAATTACATTTATATTCTCTTGATATGTGTTTACTAACAAGTACTTAAATTACCTGAATGTAAACAAATTAATAAACAATTACATTTGTTATATAACTTTTCCATCTCTTTGTCCGTCTGTCCGTCTATTGATCCATCATTTAAACACACAGTTAAGCCCAAAATTCCCTGGTATATTGTGATTTTTAAATATTATATTATATTATATCTCAAAATATATTAAAAGCATATAAACACAGTATTAGTCTTGATCTTTATTTACATACACTTTATTGAAAAGTTATTCTCAGTCAGTTATTTCCAGATAACTTTCTGTCAGTAATTCCATAATAAACATGTAAACTTTTTGATTTAATGGTGGCACTTTTGGAAATCCATATTATCAAGAATCCATGAATCAAATGCTTGTTTAAAGTTGAAGAGCTGGTAAGGCTTAATGATGTGTTTGTTTTGCTTTGATTATCGAGAACTGTGTCCAGATATGCCCTGATTTTAATAATAAGGCTCATTTTAGAAGTATAATAAAAAGACCTCAGCCATTAAATCAATTAGCTTGACTACAATAAGACATGTTTTTGGCTACATGAGTTATTTAATATCCTGGTTGTCTGCTTTGGTTTGAATTTTACCTTTAAAGCCTCTTATTTAGTTTTATGTGTTCTTTGATATAAATTGTTCTGCAGTTTGGCAACAACAGGAACTGACTAACCTGCATATAAAGAAGAGATGATGCGTAGCATATGATTTTAGAAGCTTTTATTGCTTGGAGAAAACTACAAAAAAATAAATAAAATAAAAATTTTAAGACCTAAATCCGCTACAGGATTTCAAGGAAAATATGTTTCACAAAAGATGGCATGCAGTGGAGAGAAACTGGGAAAACAACAACTGTGAATCCATTTTATAGGGCTTGCAAAATAGTGAAATATAATGTTTTTTATCGAATTGGCCGAGGGGGTGTAAGCATTAACCCATGCATTTCAATGTAATTTTAACGCCAAATGAAAAGAAAGCAGCTTTTAAAGACAACGACTGTTTCAATCCACAGGTGCCAGGACTAATGTTAATGGGAAGTGACAGCTTCGTTCATAAATACTCCATTGTAGCTCAGAGAGCTCTGAACTCTTCCCCTCTGCACACATATGAATAACAAGCAAGTATAACAACGTTTCTGCGCCACCCTCTGTGAGGACACATTCCTCGCTGTCCTGCTGCAGCCTTGTCATACCAAACAACATGTAAAAATGTGACCCATATGGTCTCCCTTTGGAGAAGCACTGATTGAGCTGTATGGAAGTCATAGCCCACCCACAGAAGGCGAATAAGGAGAACCATATGTGGTGAGATGAATTAGGTAAACTGCACAACATTTTTATTAGATACAATTTCACTTGCCATGTGAATGGACTGGAAGGTGACACTTTGAAAACAAACCTAGAAATATATCCCAGGTTAACACAGGAAAAGTCAATGCATTTACTAAATGAAATTAACAATAATTTGTAGTTTTGTGTCTAAAAATATCACTTAAATTACCACCATCTCTGTCTTTAACGTTGCCGAGACAAAGGACTGATGGCAGATTAGCCAAAAATCAATAATGAACTCTGATAAGATGGTTTACAGTCCATGTTTATTTGCATGTAGTTTAGCTCTCCTCTTAGGACCTGAAAGAGTAAGATAACTCCCTCTGCAAATGTTAGCTTTCTGAAAATTGGATTACAAAAGAAAAGTCTACAAATAATTGAAAAACTTTCTAAACA